TCTTCCTCTATAAAGGAAAAGTTTGTAAAATATAAGTTAGTTTTTCTTATACTTACCTTATGTCTTCTGCCAATGTTTTGTAAACTGGCTTGAGCTTTTGTTGAGCTGTTTCTTTCTTGTTTGAAAGACTTTTGTCTTGTGTAGTGGCTGACTTTTGGATTTTTCAAGAAAATTACCAAAAAAGGAAATTTTTAGGGAATTTTTTGATCAGCGGAAAGAGTTTTTTTTTATAAAATTAATAAAATTATTTATAATTAATTTCTTTAATAATTATATATTTTTCATTCTTTTGTTTTAAAAATTTTATTAACTTTTTATGGTATTTAATTAAATTTTGATAAAGTTGTATATAAAAACTATTTTAAGTATATCTAAATTTACTTTTTTAGATTAAAATTTGAACCCCCAAAAAATTTTTTTTTCATAAATATTTATTTAAAAAATTTTATATTTTTTATTATTTTGCTCTTATAAATAATATTTTAAATTTTTATATTATTTCAATTAAATTTATATATGACTAATTAAATACTATTAATATTTTTCCGATTTTCAATGTCCCTTACTGTATTCAAACAATATATATATTACAATGATATTCATATTTTTATGCGTTATGGAGATTAATAATTACACGAAAAATTTTTTGTCGTTCACCGATTACATTCAAGTTTGATCATTGCACCGTATAATGTTGGAGATACAAATACGCACATAGTGTGTAATGTACTGAATACAGTATGTACAGAAATCTGAGCGCTATAAAGTTATATAAAAGTTTGTATTTCTATATAATAAAATATTTTATTCAAATTCATGGAAGAACTTTTTTCATATATAATTGGTTTTGTTAAAAAATTATTTAACAGAGAAATCGATCCTTATCTTAATTGTGCCGTATAGTAAGTACAGAATGTACGGTACATATAATTCGTGGTCGCATACGTATTTGTAACATAATCTGGTTTAAACTCGCTCAATTACAAATTACATATTTGTTGTTTCCTTGCAGATTACACATGATCAAATTGAATTATTGCATTATTATTGCATTTGGAATAAACTTTTTTAGTAAATATATAGTTGAATATAAAGACCTCGAATTTTACATTCAACAACAATGTGAACTTTTTTGGCACTTTTGATTACGTATCTACATAAACATATCGACGCACAAGACCCATGGATATTTATTGTTTACATGGGTTCTGTATGCAGCGCCTGATTTTTGGCTAACGTGAGAAACTGAAAAAGAACTTCATAAAAAGGCGGTTATACTTGTGTTGCATTGTAATTTTCTCTTCTAAAAAAAAAAATAAAAAGCGAGATTTTTGAGCATTAAAAAATCTATAGGAAAATGTCACAAAACAATGGTCTCTCGATGAGTATCAGTGTGATGTCAGTCACTTTCCTAACGTTTATAAGTGGATATGGCGCCACTAAATTATACAATACTTTAATGAAACAACAAAATGATGCCCCTTTCTCATGTCAAAAGCTTCTCAAGTTAACAAAAACATCATCAAGACTACCACAACCAAGATGTAATGAAATAGAAAAATTGGTAATCACATATAACAAACTTCAAAGAGATGCAATATACACCCGAAACAAATATAAAAAAAAATTGAACATTATATTGGAAGAAATCGAAGAAATTCGTGAAGAAATTTATAATTTTGAATGCCAAACCGCTATTAAGATTTTCGAAATACTGGATGAAATAGAAATATGTCATAATTTAAGCACAGATTCGAATTCCGTTATGTCGCATATTAAAGGTTTAAAATTAAAACTGGAAGAAGAAGAAGAAAATCAAAATGAGACATTGGAATTAATGCAAATTGAACTAGGACACTTGATTTGGAAGTATGAGGAGCTGGAGAAATGTGAAATTCAGGAATGGCGAAGCGCATTAAAGAATTTGCAAAAGGTTCAAAGTCAGTTGTGTCGAGCAACGAATTGGGCGATGAAGGTATCAAAAAAACGGGAGATTCGACTTGATCCTAAGAATATTATAAATTAAGGTCCTTCCTGTTCAAATCGACCGCTATTTGAAATGGTTTTATGCAATATTATTGATGCTAACGGTGGTATTTCTGCTACTTTATTGATTAAAGTAAAATAAAATGCAAACTCTCTAAATTTTAATAAATAGTAAATTTTGTAGATAGATATAAATGAATATAAAATACACACGACGTTGGCATTCCATCTTATGTTTTTATGAAGGGGCGTAATGCAATATAAAAATGAAAGACCATTAAGTCTGTTGAACAATCTTTACAATATTGCTTAAAGTTCTCATGTAAAATAAAAATGGCATTGTAACTTCTATATAGTCAAATTCAAATGACATCTTTGCCAACATGGCTAATAATAATGTGTTTATTTGTTATTTAAAATTCAAAAATTTAGTACAAATCTTTATTAACTTTGTTAATTTTGTATTATCTATACAAGGCGTATCAAAAAATATAACTTTTATTTTTATTTATATTTAATAAATAATAGTTTGATTGATTTTAAAATTTAATTTTACTTAAAAACTATTTTATAACAACAAATACATTATTTGATTTTATATTTTTATTTTTACATTAAAATTAGGAATTTCTATTATTGTTATCGATTAAATCTTTACCTCTATTTCATTTTTGAGTATTTTATTGAATAGTTATTATTCGTTACAAGTTCTTTTAATTGTTTTTTTTGAAATTATAAAATATTTGTTTTTTTATAGGTATTACAAAAAAAAAAAATAAATAAATAAATAAAACATTTGTTTTTTTTTGTTTTATTAAATTCAAATATATTTTTTAACTGATTTATTATACTATATATCTTTTCTAATACTTTATTGAAAAAAAATTATATTTAGAAACAATTGAAATAAATATATTTTTTTTGAGACCCATAATCAAGCTAGATAATAGTTTATTAATAAATTGAAAATATAAGTATATTTTCATTTGAGCAGCATAATACATACTACAGCTAAACATTAATTCAAATCTAACTAACTCATCATAGACAATAACAATCTTTAAATTTGTCTTAAGAACAATATTTTTCTTTATGGTAAACTAATTCTTCTAGTTCATTATTTCATTACCAGTAGATTGTTATTACCAAATATTCTATTAAGCTATTGGAATATAGAAAACTATAAAAAGATGGATTGAAAAAAAGGAAAGAGATATATCAAGGGGACTATAAGAAAATAAAATAAAAAATTCTTTAGTTTCATTCAAAGACCTACTTTCTAAGACTTTTTTTTAATAATAAATGTTCATTTAGAATATTCTTTCTTCTTTTAACTATCTGAAAAACTTATTTATTTTTTATTTGAATTTCTTTTTTGTATACTATCTAAGAAAACCTATTGCTTAATAAGAATATTTACTTTTAGAACACACTTGATTCCAATCTTCTTTAGACAATAATTTTTTATTTAACTGTAATAAATAAATAACTTATAATAGATCCTAGGTTCTTATATAACCCAATAAAAATTGAGTCATATTATTTCAATATAACATCTTTTAATAGTCATATTTAGTTAAAAAAATTTTTATTGATAAACATATTTTATTATTTACTTGTCATAAGGTATTAAGGGAAAGAATACCTATTAATAAGTAGTATGGTCTATATAAGGATTGTGATCAGTTGTGATATCTGAAATCAGTTAAAATTATCCTAATGTCACCCATTATTGATAAAATTGACAAAATATAACAAATACAAGAGTAGATCCCTAAACTGGTAAAATACTATTAATAATCAAGCATTAATCTTTGTATCGCTCACTGATTTAACTATTGTGAGGCCTTAATAGAAAGAGAAATTTGCGTATCATCTGAAGAATCAAAATACTGGATTCAAGATACTGTATTTGATAGCCTGATAACTTACCTATTCTAGTATACAATAAAAATGTATAAAGAATAATTAAGATAGAATTGTGTAATTTTCTATTGAAGTAGTACTTATACATATATAGTATGATCAACATAGTTACCCATATATATGATAGTTTACTATAATAGTTGATGTATATATTGCTTATTTGAGAATATACACAATAAACACATTACTTCTTTCTTTGTCTGTACAAATATATACAATAGTGATTGATCTCACTGAATAACTTAAATAAAAACTGTAGGGCTTGGATCGATATATGACAGTGACAACCTGCTGACAATAATACAGTGAACTAGAAGGGTCTTTACTCAAAGATACTGCAAAACAAAATATTATTTTCAAGATTGAATTTAGAGGCTATTATACTTATAATAAGTTAATTAGATTATGATAACAGTTTAGCTGTAGTATATATTATGCTACTCAAATGAAAATGTACTTATATTTTCAATTGATTAATAAACTGACAATTTAACCTGATTATAAGTACACACACAAAAAAAAAAAAAGGAAACTTTGATCTTAAACTTTATCTAATTAAAATAATAAGAGAAAACAATTTTAAGTTAAACAAAAAACATCTTTTTATCATCTGAAAACTTATTGTTTATATCTTATTTGCCTCATAGAACTTGATTTATAGGTTAATTTAATTGAAAAAACAGAGTAAAAATAAATATCAATTAATTCTTTTTATCATTAATAATATTATTAGAATATATGAGATAACCAGTAGAAGTTTATGTATATTATAGAATCTAATATATTTTATATTAATCAATTATTATTGGTAAGGATTATACTATCAAAAATTTAAGGTCAAATTGAGATAGACAAAATTCTTTAGAAAATTATGAAAGCAAAAGCTTTAAAAAGACTAAAATGGTTAAAAAAATAAAAATAAATCTTTAACTATAACAAAATCTCTATAAACCTTTGTCCTCAAAGGTTAGAAAAACCTTTAAATACTTTACAGTTAGTTCTTCTTTCTTTGAAAACTTTCTTGCCATTGATATTAAAGGTGTTACAGGACTTTTCTTAACTATTGTAAGTCAAGTTTTTGGATAAAGAGATTTGTAAACAATAGAAAAAAAGTAGAATTAACTTTTGAAGTTAAACTTTAAGTTGTTTTAAGAAAAGTATTAAGATTTTATTAGCAAAAAAGTGAAAAACTTCTTGTAAACATTTTTTTTACATGTAATTAAAGAATTAGAAAAATAAGTTTTTAATATTAAACTATTGAAATAAATATTTTTATATACTATTTAAGGATTTATAGATTATTAAAAAGAAAATAATACAAAAGATTATCTATTTATATAACTCAATTTAAGTTTAACTAATAAGAATAATAAAAATATATAATTGTCTAATGTAAATAATTTTTTTAAAAACAAAAGAGAAGCTTGATCAAATATATTTAACTATATATTACTAATTTTTTTAAACAATAGAATCGGATAATATTTAAAATACACTAATATATTGATTTATTGGTTTGTTTTTATCCATTAAAGAAAACCAATATATTAGAACTTGCTTAAAATATCTAATATTAAATGATACTAAAAATATTTTATACTAGTTAAGAATTAATCAATATTAAAAAAAATTGTTAAAAGAAAAAGAACAAAATAAAAAAATAAATAGTTATAAGAAATAATAAGAAAAGAAATAGAAAAACTTTTAATTACAACTTTGCAATTTAACTTTGCTTCTATATTATTTTTTATTTGATTTTGATATTTGTAGAAATTAATATAAAATAGAAAAACATGACTTATATGTTTCTATTTATCACATGTATTTTTATTTATATTTCTGTTAACTCAAGATTAATTAATTCAAATATTTGACAATTAATCTATTCAAAATCTGATATAACTAAAATTTTAAGATAAATTTAAAATAAGCAAAATTTTCAAAAAAAATTAAAAAATTTTATTATATATTAAGAAAAAAGCCATTATTTATAGTAAAAATATTAGTATTTCAATTTAGTATAGAGGTAAATAGCCTTAATACTTTTTTTTAAACTTTAAAATCTTAATAAAAAAGAGAAAAAGAATATTTTATTTAATTTTTTATACTCAATTTAACTTTCTTATTATAATAATTGAATTTAGAATTTCAAAAAACAAAGTAAAAAGAATAAAAATAGATACTTATCAAATATGGTATTATAAAAGAAAGTAATAAAGTTTTATTATTCATAAAATATAAAATACTAAGAAATGCTTCATTGAAAATAGCAGTCAAAGAATTAGTAATAAAAGTTATTCTTTTAAATTTAGATATTTATTTTCTATTTTTTTTTTTGAGTATCTATAGTTAGGCTAAATTATCAATTTATTAATCAATTGAAAACATAAGTATATTTTCATTTAAGTAGTATAGTACATATTATAGTTAAACTATTATTCTAATCTAACTAATTCATCATAAGCATAAGAGTCTTTAAGTTTGACTTTGAAAACAATATTTCATTCTACAGTATCTTTGGATGAAAACTCTTCTAGTCCATTGCATTATTGCCAACAAGTTGTCATCACTATATATCTTATCAAGCCACTGAAATATAGGAAACTACAAAAGAATAAATTGAAAAAAAAAGAGAAGGAGATATCTAAAAATGTTTAAATAGACAACAAGAAAATAAAAAGGTAAAAAATTGAAAAAAAAATTTCCAGCTTCTTTCAAAAACCTGTTTTCAAGATCTCTTTTCAGTAAGAAATATCTGATTGGAATATTCTTTCTTTTCCTGACTATTTGAAAAACTTATCCATTCTTAATCTTGATTTTCTTCTCATATATTATCTGAGAAGACTTATTACCTAGTATAAGCCTTTACTTTCAAAACACATTTGGTCCCAACCTTCTTTGGCAGTAATTTTTTATTCACTTGTAGTAGAGAGATAACTTATAATAAACCCTGGATTCTTGTGTTACCTAGTAAGAACTGGGTCATATTGTTTTAATATAATATCTTTCAACAGCTATACCTAGTTAAAAGAATTTTACTGGTATATATCTTCCATTATTCAAAAGGTCAGATTCTTCAATAATCCTTTTGCCTTGTAATGATAAAAAGGTTTT